GAAAGCTGAAATTGTACGTCTGTTATGTGTAACTAAAGCTGGGTTTGTGTGGAAACGCTTTATTCTGTAAAACTGTGGTCCAGACGTGACTCTGGTTCGAACGAGTTTGTTTTAAATGGTTTAAAAGACGTTTTGCCACGGAGCACCACTCCACTAAGCTCAGAAATTGATTCGTTACATTTTTTAACAGAAAATTGGTGCATTTTGACAGTTTAAAAGACGAAAAGTGACGGACTTGTTCAGATAAAGCGAACATGCTAGTTGGAAAAACGCTGCGTGATTGGTTGAATTAGCTGCTGTGTAATGCTTTCATTGGCTGAGAGACGTGTCAGTCGTGACTAACTCTGACGTGTCAGGTCGTAAAGCCCACCCCGTGCTGCTCTGTCATTGGTAGATTCAGTCACGTGACCCGGAAATGAAAACTCGTTTTTCATAGGGAATAAAATCTGCTTTTTAAAGCTGAAAAGCGCTTTAAAGTTGATTCTGATACGATGCTCCGTGTCTTCGAAGTATAATCGCTGAAATTTTGCCACGTTTGAGTTTAAAATCCGTCATTAAATGATGTTTTTGAACAACGCTAGCGATGCTAATTTTAAGCTAACAGCTAACGACCGGATGAGTGACGTGTCACGTCACTTCCTCCATGTCGGAAATGAGCTCGGTTGCAACCGAAGCCTTCGCTGTGCTTAAAATCACTAATTAAAACTTGCCACATGTCCCATAAAACTCGTGTTCATGCAAAAAGTCATGCTTGTTGAAAAAAACGCCACGTTTACGCTTTAAAACCATTCAGAAATGTTGATTTTAACCGAGTTTAGCCAAAGCTAACTTTAAGCTAAGCGGCTAACAACAGGATGTCAACAGAACGTCACAGGAAGTCGTCATAGACTCCTGCTGGTAGAAAGCTAAACACTGCCCCCTCCTGTAGGAACTTGAGATCACAGTTTCACTATGTTTTAGGTTATTTTTGAGTGGAATTAAACGTATTTTCTTTCTGTAAGGCATTTTTGAGTTAATAAACGTTCCTCAAAGCTGAATAATCACTGTTATCTTGCATTTAAAAAGTAATTAAGGTATTTATGCAAGAAAGGCATTTACCAGGACATTTTTCATTCACTGAATTCCTCAAACAAAAGGTACAAAATGAAAAATTAGAAACTTTTTAAAAGATACGGTTCAGATATTCACAGAGTTGATAAGTTTACTCATTTGCTGGAAAAGATAATGCACGTTTAATTGCTAGATCATTAAATAAGAGTAAATATATCAGGAAAAAGAGACTTTTCTGATTTTATTTACCACCTAAACAATTACATCTCCTATTTAAAATTTTAAATAGAAGATATTGGCAGGAGAACAGGAGTAATAACAGTTTTTCTGAAGAAAGACTGATTAATCCTGACACATCATCAATTTTTATTTTTCTGTACACCTCTGAACTCGATGAGTAACTGTAAAATAGCAAATTTCTGGAACAGAACGGTTTAAAAAGTGTCTTTAAACTGATGTGCTGTGAGACTTTTTAGAAAATTGCAGGTTTATTAAAAATTCAGTGCTTTAGAGTAAAATACACTAAAAAAGAGCTTGGTAATCTAGTATCTGTTAAGAAATAAGCACATAAAAAGTAACACTGCAAAGAGGCATTTACTTAAATATTCATGAATTGGGGTAAAACCTGGACAGGTGCCCACATTTGAATAAGTTGACTTATAACAGTACTTTTGTATAAACCCAAAGCTAAAATAGTGTGAAACTCATTGACACTTGAATACAATTATTTACCTGTAAAAATATCTGAAGCTGGCAATTGTTTTATCCAGAAAAAGTGCTGAACAGTGAATAACCATGACAGGTGTCAGGGAAAAAAGATTTTGATCCTTATGAGATGAAGGACTGTTTAGAAGATGCGTTAGCGCTGCTGACAGCATCCTTACATCCATATGGCAAACAGGCGGACAGCATGAACCCAAAAGAGTTATTGGACAATCTGATGGAGGTTGCAAAGAGTGTGACCTCTACAAAAATTTCAATGTCAAGCTATGAAAAGCTGGCTAAAATGGCAACGTTGCTAAAAGAATCATACTTTGCATTAAGACGGGATCACGACGAGAAAATGTCACAAGTTTCCCGCTGCAAAGGTGAAATAGATGTGCTTAAAAAAGATCTGCACAAAAGCAGAGTGGATAAAGAGGTATTCCTGGAAGAAGTTATGCGTTTAAGAAGTGAATGTCAAACATCCCAGGAACGCTTAAAAGCATGTGAGGAGAAACTAAGAGCAGCAACAAATAAAAGTTCTGACGTGGGGCGAGGTGGTCTGGAATCCAGAGAAGACCTTGAACAGTGTCGGGATAATACACCAAAACCTCCAAAGATCTTTTACTCACCTGGTGCTTTTAGACTCATCCAACCACCCTCACCTAAAGTGGTAGGAACAGACCTGAACAGGTCTCCTCCACCGAACGTGCAACAGTGTGCTGTGAATGTGTTCGAGGCATGTTCTCATGCTAAGACGCCCATAGAGGTGTTTCCTGGTGTAAAGGTTAAACCCCACTCCCTAGAACTGGAAGGACGGCGTGCATCGCCGCCTCCTCCTAAAAAAGGCGAGAAAAAGCAGTATTTTCAAACTAACAAACCGCGTCATGAAGGTGCACGCTGGGACAAAAAAGCTCCTCTTTCAGAGGATGAACGTGATTATCGTAAATGGGGTGTGCGTAGGATGCAAAGATATGGGAACCAATATGACCCATATTATCAGGGGAAGTCCGAAAAGGAACCCCCAAAAGACGTACCTAACCGTCCCCCACCTCGGACGAAACGAACCGAGGCGAAAAAATCACAAAGGTTCCAGAAACAAGGCCCTACACCTCTGAGCTCGGAAGAGACAGAGAAACTACGCAGGTTTTTAGAAACTTTGAAACACACTGACACGGGAAACCAACCTGGAGCACTATGCAGTGATGTAATCACTATTACATCTGAGGGCGCGAATGACAACATTACAGATGTCGGTGGAACACACCAAGACATTGCTGTCGTTGCCTCCAACAACCCCTCATCGGACGAAGGGGGGATAAACTCACACACAAACGATGATGAGTCATCGCAAGCTGAACACTCAGAACCTGACTTTCATAATTTTGAACTAGGCATTCCAGTTCTGGGAGGACTCCCAGATAACCTGGTACCGAGTCAAGACACTGGGCCAGTATGTTTCACGAAACCATCATAGGCCACAGCTCTTTTCTCAACCAATGACGTCGACCAAGGACCACAAACCTATGGTGTCTTACCCATAGACAGGTCCGACGACTCAGAAAAGGATTCGTTGGAGCTCCCCAAGGAGCAAGAACCCTTATCAGTCTCATCACAGATTGAACAGGTGGTCGCCCAAGCCGACACTCTGACATCTGATGAAGAAAGAGACGAAATTCGCCAAGTTCTTTTAAAATATGAAAAGTCATTGTCAACTGACCCAGACATCATCCAACTTCAAAAGTTGGATGATCCTGCAATTAAATCGATGATACTGTATCTGACTGACCCAGACAAATACACTCCATCGAAAGGTAAACTGGATTCCAATCCAGACCTAAAAGTCCTCTTTCAGCTGCGCAAACAGTTAAAACTACTCAAGGACAACCTAACTTTAGCTCATGGAGCGACGTCCTCACCCGTGTTCGCGGTCTCCCATGACCGAAGGGGGGTGACGCCAGTTAGGATAATGCTACCAGACGCGATAACATGATCAAATCTGACATTCAGAGTGAGTGGCGCACCGAAACGTCGTTT